TTATCACATTCAAAACAAACAGCACTTACCATTTCTGAAATTACTGCTGAGTCCTTAAATGAAGGCTTAGGCTACAGATCATACAAATAAACATAAAGTAAAATAAATATTTTGTCCCTGTTTCCACCAATACTTAAGGCTTAACCTTAGTATCTCCACACTTTTTCCTTTTCTTTCTCTGTTCAGTGTACTGGACTCAAGTCCCTCCCTTCCCATCTCTGCAAATATTGCCATGGTATGCACGAGTCATCTCATGTTAGCAACAGATTTCCTGAATTTTCCGCCTTCCTTTACTGCTTACCTTCCCTGTTCCACGTTTTCATTAGCATGATCTTGTAGAAGATAGATTTCATTATGTTATTAAAAATTTCCAGTAACCCCTCATTGAACATAGGTAGGGTCCCCTAATATCTTATGGGAAGAAATTACTTTCTCTTCAAAGTCTTAAAAATATGTATGTGTATGTGTAGGTGTAAGTATGTGTAAGAACAAATCCCTGTATCGATTTACATATCTTTACAGATGAGGAAGTTTTTCACATACAGCTTGGGGCAAAGTAGATTTACAGTGGTAAGTCAATAAAAAAAGATAAACAATTCATAGAAAAAATGGCAAAGAGTATAAACAGAAAATTGAAAGTAATGGCCACATATAGGCAATTAAAGATGAAAAATTTTTCCAATTTCACTAATAATCAAAGAAATGTAATTTACTACAGTGAGATAGGACTTTTCACCTAGAAAATTAGACAAGATTGATAAAAATGAGGGTATTTGTTACATTTATTCATAGTTTACCTATAATGTTACTAGATTAAAAAAAATCTGTGATTTGTTTAAGGCAGAGATTAACAAAATTTACTTGTAAAAGGCTACTGAGTAAATTTTTTTGGCCCTGTGGGCCATAGCGTGTTAGTTGCAACTACTCAACCCTGCCATTGTAGGGAGAAAGAAATTTAGATAATCCATAAAAAAATAGATGTCGCTGTATACCAATAAAACTTTATTTATGAATACTTAAAAATGAATTTCAAGTATCATGAAATATCATTTTTTTAATTTTTAAACTGTTTGAAAATGTAAAACCATTGTTAGCTCAAAAGTTGTACAAGAACAGGCCCAGCTTTGGCCCATAGGCAATAGTTTGCCAAACCCCAGTTTAAGGCACAGTATTTAAGGGCCCTTTATGCCATGAGTGGGCATTGTAACCAGGAGGATGCACAAGAAACTGACTATAGTAGTTGTATTTGGTAAGGAAAATGAGTGACAGAGCTGGAAAAAATACTTATTTTTCTCTGTGTACTATTTGAGTTGCTTACTATGTGCTTGTATTGCTATTTAAAAAATTCAAGTTTCCTTTTCTTTAAGCCCCTTCTGGAGTCATAAACCCAACAAACCTGATTTGGGCAGACTCTGCCAACTATCTGGATTCGGGAGCGCACTGTTAGCTCTTCAGAGGCACCTACATAGTGGGTCTCCAGTTGGGGGAATAACTCAAATAAAACAGAATTAGTAGAATTGGACTTTCATTTGGGTAAGAGCGATAAATCCTGTCCATTGTGCAATAAGAGAAAAAAATTCTTATCTTGTACCATTTATTCAGGATGAGCATACCAAATGTCAGGGAATTTGGCGGAACTAAGCAAGGAAAACAATTAATACAAGCCATTTAATTGAGCCTACATTTCTTGAGGGCACTTGAATGGAAGGTGCCAGGTTGATATGAATGCATGGAGGAAAATACAAGATTTTGGTGGAAAATGAAGATGATGGTACCTGAGAAAGAGAGCTGTGATGTGCTACAGAAGTATGGGGAGCTTGATGAACATGACTGAAGGCTCCAAAGGCAAATAAGAAAAAAAGTTAGCATGGAGGGAAGCCTAATGTAAGAGACAGAACTGAAATCTCCTGTGTTTTAAAGACCAGAGCAACTGGGTCTTAAATTACAGAGTGTAAATTTGGATTGAATATTGGAAAAAATTCCTGACTCTGTACTTTGTAGGTTCCTGCAAATTTTTATAGAAAACTGGAATTTCCTAAAAATAAGAGCAACTCAAACTAGAACAACAGTTGTGTGAATTTTTAGGAACTTTTCAATCCATTTATTATTTAATATACATATATATTCATAATTCATGTATATAATATATACACATTGAATGTGTACATAATAACTTATATACACATATTAAAACTGAAATTTCCCAAGTCCTCAAATAGCTTGTGATTGTGAATGAGGTCCCGTTAATAGCAACAACTCAACCTTTACTGGCTTATTCCTCAGGACCTTTGGCTCCCTACCAGAGTCCTCCTCTTCCCAAGTATTTCAGGGAGGCTTTGGGGTCTCTTCTTGTTTGTTCATGATCAAGTCTGCTCTGACCACATCTTCTATTACTTTTTGTGTCCATTGGCGAGACCAGTACCCAACTGTGGTCATACCAACTTTGCTGGGCATTCTCCATGGGGTAAGGTGATACCTCGGCTGCTGCTGCTCTTTCACAATTGCCCCAGAATGACCCTGAGTCCTGTTGGGATCAAAGTTCCACTGTGATTGTGGCAGAGTTGTTTGAGCATGAGGGTGGAGTGAAATGAGTTGTCTCCTACTTATTGTGTTCAGTTAGAAAAGTCTAACTTATAGTTCAAGGTTTCCAAGTTTCATTTTTATTTATGATTTTCTCCCTTTTCCCATGAGGGTGGCAGGACGGCCTCTTGAATCTAGTACAGGTTGGTCAAATACTGTGCTACATTGAGAATTACACATTCGCCTAATGACTTTGGCTTTGATTTGGGACAAGAGTCCTGGTTCCCGGCTCCCTCTGATTTTAAGAATAGGTTTTCTCTCAACAAATCCTTTGGCTTACTGGAAAGTAGACTATGGTAGGACCATGCCATTGGTTCACCAGACGAACCCCAATATGTCTGCTTTCTCACAGTAGATACAGTTTGTATCCTTTCACAGGGTGTGTGTGTGTGTGTGTGTGTGTGTGTGTGTGTGTGTGTGTATTACTAAATTCTTCAACCTCTCTGGTGTCTTTTCATCAATTCAGATGTGCCCTAGTATTGTCTATTGTAATGGAATGTCTGCAGGTAGAGTAGATCTTACAATTGATTAATTAGGCGGTTTAATGTTGTCATTAAAAAATATGGGTTCTTTACCATGAAAGAACACACAAAATAAAAACAAATTCATAGATAAAGAGAATAGACTGATAATAGCCAGAGAGAAGGGGTGTTGGGGGACTTGGTAAGAAGGGTGAAGGAACCGAGAAGTACAGATTGGTAGTTTACAAAATAATTATGGGGATGTACAAGTAAAATACAGCATAGGGAATATAGATGATAATATTGTAATAACTATGCATAATGCAAGGTGGGTAATAGAAATATCAAGGGAAATAATTTGTAAAGTATATGATTGTTTAAGTATATGTCACTTTGCTGTACAGCTGAAACTAATACAAGATAATATTGAATGTAAACTATAATTGAAAAAAATAAAAACTACCTTTGGAATCACATCCTCCTTCAGCTGCTTCCCCATCTTGACTCCCTTTCACACCTACCTCTCTATTAGAGTATCCTAATCTTTGCCTTCATTATCAGCTTTTGAATACAATATTCAATTATCTGTATATTGGTGTGATTATTTTTTAATCCCTCCATTAATTAAGTTTGATGTCATAGATCATGGATGCTTGTGTTCCCTTCATCATTTTATCTCCAAAGATTCAGCACAGAACTTAGTGCAGAATAAGTCCCCAACAATGTATTTTGAAAACATGAATAAACGAATAAATGAATAAACACAGCAATCGTTGTCTGGTGGACTCTCTTACCAGCAGCCACATGCATCTGCTACCTACTTCTGCTTGAACGGGCCCATTTTGCTGAGTGAGAAAGAAAGAAACAGAGACACAGATAATAGGGGAATTCTAATGAAATAGCTATTAGTCTAAAAAATAACCCTAGGTTCTCTTCTGGAGTAGAAAATATAAATAGTTATTATTTGTAAACAAAGTGATAGACAGGATAGACAGGATAAAAAGATTTGGAAATCGCCCTCAGAAAACAGCCTTGGAAAAGAGCTTCTGACAGCACACCTTCTCATTATTTGACCTTTCACATTACTTCTTCAGGGAGGTAGAAGACATATTGGAAAGAAGAAAAGAAAGAAAGAAGCCCTGGAGATAAAACTAAAAGTGAACACTGCTTCATTGGGTTCTGGGATGAGTTCTGGACCTCTCCCCAGGATGAAACTTCAGACATTTTGGTGAGATTTACCATAACTTTTTTTTCTTTCTTTTTTTTTTATTCCAGATAATATATGGCCAAGGTAGATCATGAGAGTGAAAATGCAAATTCCTTAAATTTTCTCTAAAAGGCAAAGATAAAGATCTTGGGGAGGGGAGAACATTTCTAAATTTTTGATTTGCTGACATAGTGCCTACTCAACCTAAGAAAATTCCAGTAGAAAGGGGTCTTAAAGTACTTTTGTGTTTGTGCAAAAGACCTGTTCAACTTTAGAATAAAATTTAATATAATAAATCATAGATACATCCCATTTTAAATCAAGGCTTTTATATTTGAGTGTGTGTGTGTGTGTGTGTGTGTGTGTGTGTGTGTGTGTGTAAAAGAAAAAAAAACAAAACACACAACCAAAATGTCATCATGTTTTTCCCAAATCTCCCAAGTGTTGAAATTTAAATAAAAATATATGTTATTTTCCCAGATAAATTGGAGAGTATATCTACACTTATAAGTCCAAATTAGGTGTAAAAATATTGAGAAAAACTACATTCAGAAAGGCCTTGACAAAATGTCAAAAGGAAGCCAGTTACTGTTTTGTAAATTGGCATGAACTCTCCCTCTCTCTCTCTCTTAACCACCTTCTTCCCTCTTCCTCAAACTCTCTATTTGTTTATTTGCATTTCAGGGTGATTTTTTGAAGACCACAATAACAAAGGTGCATTCTCAAGTAGAAAAGTTTGGATTGGATCAAAAATGAATCTCATCCAACACTCCCACTTACCTGCTGCGGATGAATTTTCTCTTTCTGACAATTTATTTGGTAAGTTGTCAAGTTCATTGAAATCTATATAGAACAAGCTACAATTTGGAAGTGCATGAGAACAAAGCTTCGATGATGAGTGCCAGAGAGAGTCTAGAAAAGTATTTTTGTTCCTTCTGAGTACTCAGTCAACGTTAGCTACGAATCAAGGTTAGAGGTAGATAGAACCTTGGATTCATTGAAACAAGTGGTCTTCTCTTTTATAGATGAGGACAGCAAGGCCCAGAGAGCTTTGTGGCTTGTCCAAGGCCATGAGGCTAGATGATTAACAGAGCTGGGAGTAGAAACCAATTCCTGCTCTAGGGCTGAGTCTGATCTTATTGCAGTATGTACTAAAGAATGAAGTCATGATTGTTGTGGTTTAATATTATACCTATTAAAGGCTGGAGCTTACTTAGGTTATAGTTCTGCGGTAGGCTTGCTACCCACCATCCTTCCGGCATTGGGGGATATATGGCATAGTGCCAGGATTAGTCATTTAAACTGGCTTAAGAACAAATTGTACTAAGTTGTTTCCAGTAGATCTGTAACTAGATGGTACCATAAAATTATATATTGCTTTACTTTATGCATTTATGAAAAAAGTTTCATTATAAAGAATTTTAATTGGGACTATCAGCAGAGTCAGCAGGGGTAAATTTGGGGTGGGGCAGGGAAGCTTTGTGCCAGTCTTAAAATAATTCCTTTTTGTATAGAAGACCTGCTAAGAGAAATTGGATGTTCCCATTTATTCACCCTATATTAATAAATGGACCATGGCAGATGGTAGTGAAAATGCAAATGCTTGAAATTCCATGAAAGTCAGTGTTTGAAAGCGTGATCCCCTATTTGCAGACATTCCTGGGAGATGTTAATAGCTTATGCTATTACATACCAGTCATTACCAACTTCTTGTATATAGCTTCTCAGGTCCTTTCCATGAAGAGATCATTATCTGTCTTACTTATTTGCATGCTTACCTGCCCCCATACAGTATAAGAATATTTAAGAGCAGTAACAATGTCTTATTAATCTTAGTATGCATTTGATAAATAAGAATTAAGTCATAAATAAAAGGAGAAATGAGGTTAAGGAAAATAAGAGATGTTTATCGGCAACTCAGAGAGACCAGTAATTATTTATGAAATACCAGTTCTTGGACATACTTGCTGCATTTTATTTCTTTTATTTGTCTTTTTTTTAAAAAAATATATTTTATTGATTTTTTACAGAGAGGAAGGGAGAGAGATAGAGAGCTAGAAACAGCGACCAGCTACCTCTTGCACACCCCCTACTGGGGATGTGCCAGCAACCAACGTACATGCCCCTGACCGGAATAGAACCTGGGACCTTTCAGTCCACAGACCGACGCTCTACCATTGAGCCAAACTGGTTTCGGCTATTTGTCTTTTCTTCATCCTGTGGATGCATTCAAGGCCAACAGGCACTACCTCCATGTCCAGCTACTTGACCATTTGCTTCTGGCCTATCCTAAAAATCCGAAAATAATCAGTGTATAGACATTTTTATAATTTTTGCTCTACCAGTCAGAATGCACAGAATACTTAAGACTATAGCTACATGTCATAGTCTTTTTGCTCTGAATTATAATTGCACGTTAAGCTCTCCAAGCAAGCACATCAGGTTGAAGGTTGACCTCAGCAGCCATAGGTGGAAAAATGTGAGGAGACAGAAAAACAGAGGTGAAGGAGCGGTCAAGTAAGAAGCATCTGAAAGTGCTTGCAGAGGAAGCACTGAGATTCTTGCTGTCAGGGCTGTTCTTTCCCCTTTGATGGACCACATTCCCATCCACTTTCCTAACACTTCACTCAAGGTTCCTGAGACTAAATAACACAAGATGCATAAGCTGCAATGCATAGCTGTTATTCCAGGCTAGATAGAGCAGCTTCTTCAAATCTTCATCTCGTCCCCTCCCCTGGTAAACTAATCTGAACCATGTATGATCAATGGGACTCCTTTTCCTTATTAAGATCTTGAGCCAGGTCTAAGCATTTTTTTTTCTTTCTCCACATCTCTTTCCCACAGGGCCTCAGTATCACTCCACTCTATATATCTGAGCTAAGGTATGCCAGTATAAGGGGTGAAGATTTGCATTTTGATTCCTCTATTCCTCCTGCTTACTTCTTTTGTGTCCTGATGGCACTGATGTATTCTATGTTCCCACCCTGAGCTTAGGATACAGAGCAGGGAAGATTGTGGCCCCTGGATGAGTAAGCCACAGTGCCTAAGTTGCCATTCTTGGATCTTGAGATAGACCAGTGATTCAGAAGTATTAACTTTATGGGCTCAACTAGCCAGAGCTAAACTCTTTTCCAATGGTCTGTGTACTCAAAAACATCAGTCATGTTGTTATAATCGGGCAAGTGTAGTTTATGGTACAACACATGAATTTCTTCCATCTGAATGTTGAGCACTGACTATATACTGGACATTGTAATAAAGCAGGAAACAAGACAGGCAAGCTCCTAGTGGAGAGAAGACTCACAGGAAACATGCAAATAAACAAACAAGATTATATTAGGTAATGGTAAGAGCTATGAAAATAACAAACCAGAGTGATGTCATAGTAACTCGAATAATGGGGCTGCTCTCAATGGTGTGGACAGAGAAGGGTTCTGGGAGTTAACAAGCAGAGTCCAAAAGACAAACCAAAGAGGACATTCTAGGTGGAGAAAACAGGAGACACAATGGCCCAACGTCTAGAATGGACTTGGAAGGGCGCTGTTTTCTTTTTTTTTTTAAATTATTATATTTTATTGATTTTTACAGAGAGGAAGGGAGAGGAGGAGGAAGAGGAAGAGAGAGAGAAAGAGAGAGAGAGAGAGAGAGAGAGAGAGAGAGAGAGAGAGAGAGAGAGAGAGAGAGATCAATGAGAGAGAGAGAGACATCGACCAGCTGCCTCCTGCACACCACACACCAGGGATGTGCCCACAACCAATGTACATACCCTTGACCAGAATCGAACCTGGGACCCTTCAGTCTGCAGACTGACGCTCTATCCACTGAGCCAAATCGATTTTGCCTGGCGCTGTTTTATCATTTTCATTTAGGACAGTTGAAAGAGTCTTAGAGAACTCACTCTGGACCCTGCATTTCCATTAACCAGCACTTGTAAAAGGAGATGATTAGACTTGAAATTCTAAGACCCTTGTCTATAAATCGTTAACCCTGAGAAGCACAACCCCAAGCTAGGATTCATGCACAGGCAGTTGATGTGAGAGTTGTTCCCAGGGAGCAGAAGCAAAGGACTGGAGCTGCAAGACCTGGAAGGAGGGGAAACCACCATGAGGTGAGTTATGCAGATCACTGCTGTGGGCAAGGGGAGTTTGATTCCATGGAGTAGCATAGAGAATTGTCCACTGAGGGACTAGGGACTGGACACTGGAGACTGGGGCACTTATTCACTAATCTCTGGCTCCAGTTGGTTGAGGGTGGCCCGTGGAGGCATTAACTCGCCAGCATGTCTGGGCTGTGCGTTTGCCATGGGAACAAGGCCAGGTAGTCTCTGGAGGTATTAAATACATTTGGGATAGAATGCAAAAGGATGTGTGGCATGTTCTTGAGATGCCAGGCTGTCAACATCAGGTGAATCTATCAACATGATCATCTGCAGCAGCTCCAGGTGAAATGAGAGGTAAACCAAAGCATGTGACACCAGATGTGTCTGTTATACAGTATAAGGGGATTCCACCCCTCAGCCCTCAGTCCATTGGAACACTCAAAGGAAGGCTAAGATTGGGGGTGGGGTACAGATTTGCTCTGCAGTTCTGCTTCCTTAGGCTGGTTCTTATGGAAAAGAAGGAAAGACTCTTGGTTAGAGTGGGGTTATGAAACAGGCTGGAATCACCTCATGAGGTCCTTGAATTTATTCTGCTGCCACACATCCCTGACAAACCTAGCTCATTGGTAACTCGATCCATGGGAGCCTCAGAATGGAAGGACATGAGGACCTAGCAGAGCTATGTCTCCCTTCCTTCAGGAGCTCTTGCAAGCCAGGAAGTTTGGTCAAAGGTTAATTCAGTGGATTAAGAAAGACTTCTCTGCTGAATGAAGAAGGCAGGGTCTTTATGTAATTAGTGCATAATAAAAGGTAATAATGACAAAGTCCGTGGCTTCCTATGGTTTGACATAGTGAGTAGGGCAGGAGGTAGCATGTTGATTAAAATCTATGTATTCTTTTAGAAAATTGTGGTTTAAGAACTTAAAAAGCACAGACCTTCAGACTAAGGAGAAAAGCATTCTAATAATAGCATGGAATAAGCAAGAAAATGGGCAGTGTCTCCCTCAGTGCTCCCAGTGCAAAGAGTGTGATTCGCTTAGCTCAGTGAAACTGGGAGAAGTTCACAGAAGGTGGGTAGAAGTAAGCAAAGAAATGGAAAGGAATAAAGTCTCCAAGGCAACTGAGGCTTTCTGAAATTCAGTGTTCTCCCCTATAAAATGAGGATAGTGAATGACGTTCACTCCATAGCTTTTTGGGAAAACTGAATGACTGTGTGGGAAAGTGTTCTGTAAACTTCAGGGCATCATAAAAGAGTATAATTAGTCCAGGGCTTGATATGTAGTTGTTATTATTTAAATTGTTGAAACGATAAACACCACTCTACTCATTAAAGGGAGGAAGTTCTCTTTATCTGAACATTGTGGAGTGCAAAGAGTTTCCAAGGAGCCAACAGAAACCAGCAGTATGGAAATAAATTTCTGGGTGTCCTAAGGAGGGAAACACGTGTCCTCATTCTGGCGTTACAGCATTGCTAGAACAGCTGTGAAATGCGTGCTTTTATATTACCTTACTAGAGGCCTGATGCATGAAATTTATTCAGGGGCTGCCTCTGCCTCTGCTTCGGGCCTCCACCGGTGGCACCATGGCTTAGGTCTAATTAGCATATTATGCTTTTATTATTATAGATTATTGTATCTAACAGTCTTTGTAAAGCCCCATTCTATGAGGCTAATGAGACCTAGCAAGTGGCAGGATGCGTACTGCATATAACCCTGTTCAC